CTATCTAAGTTAAGTCTGAGTGATGGTGTAATGTTTGCCTTATGTTAAGACACTCAAATTAGTGTTATTCACTTGTTTTTTCAGTGTGTTACTAATATCGACATTCAAAGTATAGAACCAGTTGATACTCACATGAGGGACAGTTTAATGAAATCTGTTCAAATGGCAATTGAAATATCTACAAAGTAAGTCAGTATTTTGTCGGTGTATTATCTTATTATATTTTAGTTCACTCTTATTGTTAGTAATATAAACTTGCTGCAGTGCTATATATTAGACATTCATTCTGATTGTATATGCTCACTAATAACACATGTATATGCTCACTATGAACACATGCATATGCTCACTATGAACTTATCAATATGCTCACTGTGAACACATGTATATGCTCACTATGAACATATCTATATGTTCACTGTGAACACATGTACACTGTGAACTCATGTATATGCTCACTATGAACACATGCATATGCTCACTGTGAACACATATATATATATGCTTACTATGAACACATGCATATGCTCACTGTGAACACATGTATATGCTCACTGTGAACACATGTATATGCTAACTGTGAACACATGTATATGCTCACTGTGAACACATATATATATGCTCACTGTGAACATATATATATATATATATGCTTACTATGAACACATGCATATGCTCACTATGAACACATATATATATGCTCACTGTGAACACATATATATATATGCTTACTATGAACACATGCATATGCTCACTGTGAACACATGTATATGCTCACTGTGAACACATGTATATGCTAACTGTGAACACATGTATATGCTCACTGTGAACACATATATATGCTCACTATGAACACATGCATATGCTCACTACGAACACATGCATATGCTCACTGTGAACACATGTATATGCTAACTGTGAACACATGTATATGCTCACTGTGAACACATGTATATGCTCACTGTGAACACATGTATATGCTCATTGTGAACTCATGTATATGCTCACTATGAACGCATGTATATTCTCACTGTGAACACACATATATATATATGCCATCAGGGGGAGGGGATAGCCAGGAACACATAGTTCGTTGTCTAGTTCACAGCGATTTCAGACTCTTTTCTTTAATCGATATATTTACAATATTGTTTTGTTTTGAGATGGTGAAACAGTTCTCTTCCAACATATTCAACACTTTAATTGTACTAAAAATGATTTAAACACGGTGGCTAACTTGTATGGGAGAAACTTTGTTACTTTTATTGTATTTAGGTTTTCAGATTGTCAAACTGCTTAACACAAAATCAGTATACACATATCATGTTTTTTCAAAATATTAATCCTCATATGACTCAGGGCTCATATATAATGAAAAGAAATTTTGCCCTGTTTTGTGTTTTATTCATGTAGTTCTGGGTAATACATAATGTTGTTTCAGAGATTAAAAAGTGACATCATTTGCTTCATGTTGAATTCGTCAATATACAAATGTTCACCCCATTAGAGGTGGACATACACTTTAATAACTCTAAGAGAGAGGTCAGACTCTGACAGGTGAGATGTCATGAGACGTCATCTGACCTCTGTGGATCCCACATGACCGAAATTGCGCACTCAATCATTGCAATCTTCCAGGCAATCTTTTGCTTGTAGTTCTGAATGCATGTATGAACACAAATATACGAGTTGAAAGAGTTCAAGAGCAGTGATTGAATTCTTTTGAGTTTTATCATGAATGCGTTTTTACTTTCACGGTTGTGTTGATAATCTTAATTTCAGCAGCTTCAGCCTGACGATATTTATACAACCACACCTGATGCCACATGACTGTATGCACGTGCAGCTATAGTTCAAGTTCAAGTTCGCATTAGAATACTGAAACATGCTGCACACGGAGCTTGAGTATAGGTTTATGTCACCATTCTCATTCAACAAAAAAATATTGAACATAATACGTCGATATATTGTCAAAACACACAAAATACTTAACAAAACCAAAACAAAGTTCACGACTCTCAGATTCTTGAGGTAGACGAACTATGCAATCGCTGATCAAATGTCTCAAAGCTTGTAGCTGAGCACACTGGCGAAACAAAACATGCAAATAAGACTAAAAATCATGCAAAATTTCTACAAAATTCCAGTTTTCTCTCCAATAGTGAACACAAACTAACCATTTCATAAATATTGCCGCGTATCTACGTTTCCTTGACAATTTATTGGTATAAATCAGGTACATTGAGGAGGAAGTTATCTGGTTAGAGCTAGACATACAAATGTGTCAGCAGGTCAACATAGGAATAAGTCTACCTGTAATGCCCAAATCTGATTGGCTGTCATGGTTATTATTAAATGAATAAATATCCAACATTAAATTTGATAGAAATTTTGTTTCTTTATTCAAAAAAATTTAACTCAATGCAGTAATCGGCCGAATGATGTATTTCATAAATAGTATATAGTTTCCACATGCTGGCTAAAATAGAAATGTTTAAATTTGTTTCAAAATTATAAAGCCTAGCATAAGCGATACCGAAAAATATAAAAGTATAATTACAAATTGTGGTTTTTACTGATATGTACTTCCACCAGCCGTGACAGTATTCATCATGTTTTTTGAACGATAAATATCTCTATTCAAAGTTTCAAAACTGCCAAAGAAACTAATTACTATAATAATGACTTCTTTGTGTTCATTACACTACAATTTTATTCAACATATGACGCATGTCAACATTCAACTAATTTAATTGGCGTTTCAAATAATTAATATTTGTCTGATAATAATCACACCCAAACCTGTATTGAATACAATTGATTAATAAACACAATAAAACAGATGGGAACTTTGTATTCCAGACGATATTTGCTGTTATTAGCAAAGCATAATAAGCATATTAGCATTTGAAGGTTGACTGCCACATCTTTCCAAATACAGGGGAAATTTATATTATATATATTATATTTTTGTTCAAAGGTGATCTTGTGTTTATTGTTATTAACTTAGTTCAGACGCCATATGTATATAGTCTGGATATTCATTTCATATTGTCAAGAAATGTATTCATGTATTCTCAAACTTCAGACTTTTGATTTGCAATTTGGGTCTTGTGGACCTTCTGTTTCTTAAACCTTCGAACAACTGGGATGACCCCTGTGGCAACTGCCAGTCATGTTATGGTCAATGCCTATCATATTATCGTGATTGCCTATCAGGTTATTGCGAATGCCTATCATGTTATGGTTAATGCCTATCATGTAATTGCGAATGCCTATCATGTAATGGCAAATGTCTATCATGTTTTGGTGAATGCCTACCATATTATCGTGATTGCCTATCAGGTTGTTGTAAATGCCTATTATGTTATGGTGAATGCTTATCATGTTATTGCGAATGCCTATCATGTAATGGCAAATGCCTATCGTGTAATGGCAATGACTAGGATAAGACAGTCATAGCTTTCCATAAATTTATTTTCACAGAGAAGTTGATGCTGGGAAAATTTACAACTTTATATCACACACACATTTTAGCCGACATCTGAAACTACCAGGAATAAACTAATTAACATACTTCCTAATAATAATTCAAGAAATATTGTGTAAAACCACCAGTATTTTGATATATTAGCTGATTTTGAAATAATCAAAAGGTCACTCTAGGAACAAATCAGATTGCCTTGCTTTTTATTAAATAGTATTGAGATATAGAAAATAAGTGCTTTATCACAATGAAATGCCATGATATATGGAATGAATTAAGGCAGGGTGTCTGTAAAAAGTCCCACATGACAAGCACTTTCACACCAACATTTGTATGTATGTATGTACGTAATCTCACAGATCTATTGAGGCTACTGCTTTTCATGAAGCCAGACGAATAGAGCAAGAAGCCCGTGGTCTACTAGAGAGACAGAAAATATTGAACGAGCAGGCGGCTGAAAGATCTAGAAATGAGCTGTATGAATTGAAAGCAGTTACTGCAGCTGTGGAATCAACAGGACAAGCTAAAGCCGAGGCTCAGGTTGGATTACTGTACTTTAATAGTCTTCCTCTTTGTTATGTGTATAATAATTGGGTATCGTTAAAGGTCACAATAATACCATTAAATACTTTTTATGGACAAATGGTAGTGCAAACACATTTCTGTAATTTTGAACAAATACTGGCAGGATATGTATGATGTAGATTTTGATGACAATTGTATAATGGAAAGAAGCAGATTTATGAAAGGGCAGTTGAAGTTGATAACACTTAAAAAGGTTTAATTATGACTGATAAGTTCAGTCAAGCTTATATGCCAATAGTGTATAGCACCATTACCCATCATGTTATATGAATTGAAACCTTGGTAATTGCTTTTACTAATATTTTTATTATTCACACAAGTAGTTAAGCAATCACAATAGATCATATTAAAATTAATATGTCAGTAATAACAGTAATTCATGAGATCAGCACTCTACATCACCTTACGATAGAACAATATTTACAGCCTGAAAAAAATCACAACTTTTCCATATGTCCTCCTATCCATCTGTGTTTGCAGCATTTTCATAGAAATTCTGCTGCAGATATCATTCAAACTTGGCATGTTGATGTAAAATAATGTTAATGGAAAGCCTATAATTCTTTTTCAATGGTTTATTTTGGAATTTTCAATATTTCTCACGGTACAGTAGTATATGATAACTTATAGGTTTAGCGGAAAATAGAAAAGATGGCCGAAACACAGATTTTTTTTTATGTCAAATCAAGTTAATTTTTATTTTTATTTCCAATATTTCAACTTCAAATTTTCTAAAGTGAGTTAATTTTTCAGTGCTGTAAAATACTTGGATGGTGAATACAAGCATCTCACCCTGTATAACCTAATTTGAAATCAACATGATTTGAAAGCAGAACAACTTAACAATATGAACTTCCACTAACATTTGTTTTAAATGCATCAAAACCAAGCAATCTGGGGCATGTGTAGACAAATTTCCTTTAAACTTAGAACATATATAAACTGTCATGCACCTAGATGCACATACTTTTGTTTTATGGGTCTGATTTGAATTAGCTGAATAGTTTCATTTCTATTTTGTTTTTACTATTTCCCAGGGACTGTGTCATGTCAGTATAACATGTTGGAAGATTGAATTACATTAACCTATTAATCTGTTTATCTAAAAGCATTCAGTTACCAAATGTAAAATTTATACATTTTTTATAGATATTTTCCAATTAATTTATGTAGGAGAATATTTCTGTTGTTTTTTCAAGGCACGAGCAGAAAAATTACTTATTGAAGGTAGAAGTGAAATTGAAGGTGAGTAATAATGTTTCGTAAATCAAAGCATCGCTAATCAGCACCGATCATGATATATGCCACTAGGATGAGTGTGAATTGTTGGCCATACATGGATATAAAGTAATTTTCACCTCACAAATGTGTCTATTTGCCATCTTCATAATAATAATGTAAATAACCCCTGCAAAAGTCTATACCACTTACAATTATGTAATATCTTGTGATATATCTGCCTTTGACAGGGGTTATTGCTAATTATGTCAACTGATCACTGGATTTCTGATATTTCTGTTTTTCATACAGTTGCTCGTTTGAAAGCACATGCTGAAGAAATTGAGGCTAACACTGAACTTGAATCACTTGAGGAAACTCGAGCAGCTGAATTAGCTTACAAAAGTCATCAAATTGAATTGGAAGTGAATAAATCAAGAGACTTAGTTGATATCGAGGTATGTATTCGTGATAAACAGTTCTTGATGTGCAACAGAAGTGTTTATGCTTATGTGTTTAATATACAAACAATTGGAGCCACATTAATTATTTAGTTGTCATTGGAAAACACAGTTTGAAATGGGACCTCATAATTCGGTCTCCGTTCATCTGTCTTTCCAACCATCCGAAGTCATAAAATCAGAACTCTGTGTACCAAATCTGTTCATTCTTTGCATGTGCATAGTATTTTATCTGGAACATATGCACATGCATTGGTTTATTGATTCAATTCAAAATGGCTGACTGGCAGCCATTTTGTTTTTTTAAAATGTGATATCTTATGCATGCTTTGTAATTTTTTGTTTAAATTTGTTCCATACATTATACATGTTATGATACATGTCTATGATGATTCGTTTCATGTTTCGTATCTCTGTATAGAGCCTAGACAAATGAAATTCAGTTTGGATACAAAAATGCATGAATAGCATATCCTGTTTAATTTCTGACCATATATTACATTTTCTTTTGATACTATACCAGCCAATTATTCACTCTAAATTATTAGATATTAGATATTTGTATCCAAGCAGCAGGTGAGGATTGATGCTACCCTGGCGGTATTCCTAAGCACCCGTTTATATCATAAATATCATGAATATTCCCGAATTTGAATTATTTATATAAGAATTATTTTTATTCAACTGATTATTCTTCTGAATAATAATTCTGAAATTAATACATCAGCTCACCAACATTAACCGTTTTCATGATAATTACTGGGTTGTTTACACACCCAGAAGCTCAGGATAACGATACAAATCAAGTATGACTGTATGTGACCTTGAACTGAAATATATATTTTTGATCTATCCTGTGATAAGTTATACAAGATGTGATGTATAGCATCATAGTTCACTTAGAAAAATCTATATGCCTACACTCCATTATACAACCTGGTATTATTCTTATCACATGTTTTTATAATCCAAGATTACATAGCATTGTTTCAATTAATCACGCCACCTGTCAGTAATCATCAAACTTTATTCTTTCTAGGTGTCACAGTTCAGTGAAATGATAAATGCACTTGGTGCCAATACAGTGGCTGAGATAGCTAAAGCAGGGCCTCAGCAGCAGGTTGGTATATCCATGAAGATAACAACCTTTACTTTTGCAGTAAACAATAATTTTTTACATGAAATCTGGAGTAGGAAAATGTGTATGTCTTTATATATCTAGAATGTTATTCAACAATTCACACAAAGATACATGTGATGTTATGTTGTTTAAAATGGCTGACATTTAGGGTTCATACAAAAAACAACACATTTTTGCATTATAATTGCTTAAAACAAATCATCACTTTATTTTTAATGAAATTTCATTCTGCTATCTATTATACACAAATTAAATGTTATGTGAAACCAGCTACTTGATAATCATGTACTATAGGACAAACAATTTTGTTTACAAATCTGTGAATATGAAATTGCCTAATTGTATATTAAATTAGTAACTTAGTATATTTTACTTGTGCTTTGGACGTGGCTATGGATTTATAAAAGGAAAGAAGGCGACCAGACTTTGTATGAACATTTCGCTCCATGGGAATGCCTCTTGCTGGAATGTTCCACGAAATTGGTCATTTCAGCATTCAGAATACTTCATAATCTTATAATTTTGACATAATTTACTAGTTCAATGAGAAATGATTGACTGTCAGTCACTGGTTATTCAAATTATTCTCAATAAAAATATTAATCTGTATCAGCATACAGGATTGACACCTCAGGTAATGCTTGTATACATACCAAATGAAACGCCATTCAAATTAGATTTCCTATGATGCAATGACGTAATACTTCGGATTGCAAAGACAATGTTTAACAATTAATTCAAGTTTGAAATAATATGTTATAATAATTAGCTAATTAGTTATCTTTTGAAATAATATGTTATACAAATCTTGTTATTAGATGTTAATAATAATATACATGACATGCCCCTTTTTCATTTTAATGACCCAGTCAGAGATTTATTCATAATTATGTAACCTAACACTGCTATTTTAACCATACTTGAATTTAGGGTGATTGATTGCAATTATAAAATAAAAAAATCTCATCTACATCCCTGCCAAAACCTATACTTATGAAAGAAATTAATTTTGAACCAGCTTAAAAAATTATATCAATTAAGAATTACATGATATATTGAATTATTGATGGATCCTTGTTCACAACTGATCCATTATCATCCAACAGCTGTTTAGATGTGGTGCATGTAAGCTGTTACAATTAATCAAGTGATTGATAACACAAACTTTCAATTGGTGTTTGTTGTTGATTAAACAGAATGTCACAAACTACATCATGTACTTTATACAATGTGATAATATTAAAGTCATTCGAAAAAAGAATTTAGAAATTTTTAAATTTGGAAAATGTCTTCAGATATATTATAAATCAATCAATAACCAAATGAAATTGTGATTACAATAACACATTGTGAATATTTAAACTGGTTCACAAATGAAAAACTAATAACAGTTGTCCTTGGAATAATTACAATAAATTGATAGATGCAGACAAACACAGTTATGTCATAATTGATTTAAGCATAAGATATCCAATAAACATGTGTTTTAATGAGCACTGTACATATATGCCATTATATGTATATTCAGGTCTTTATTTGCCTAGATAAGACAAATCCGTAGGATTGATTTGGATGGAACACATGCTTATCAATGATAATGTTGGGACTTGGAATTTCCACTGATTAGTGTGACATAATTTTATTAAATTCTGGACAAATCCAAACGTGAATATTTCAAACGATGAATACTATCATTGCCTCAGTTTTAGTAACCAAACATATTTCTGGCTATCATCTTTGCATCGATGCTGTTTCATGGAAATCTTTTCTACACTAATACATTTTGCAACAACATCAGAAATATAATTATACTTTGTTGACTTTATAGTTTTGTTTGAGAAAACACATCAGGCCAATACTATTCACATATCAGCAATCATCTTTATTATTAAGTTATACTTTTTGGCTCGTGTGTGCAGATCAGAAAGGGAGACTTGTTATAATGTGCCTGTTTGGATGGATGGATGTGGGTGTCAAATCAATATCCAAAGAATCACTGGGTGATTGGATCCATGCATACTAATTAAGTAGCGAGTTTGCATAATATTAAACTATTTTAATCATGCTTTTAAATTCCCAACAGCTGTTTTCTCAGATGGGGTTTAAACTTAATACATGCATACTTTGGAATTATTCTGCACATGTTAATTAGCTAATTTGCATAACAATTATTTACTTTCAGCATGTTTTGTTGATTCTCTAATTATAGTTTGCCCAAAGGATTTAATACGTGGTATATGCATATTGATTTTGGACTATGACTGATAATTGTTTGTTCAATCTGTGCACTTTAATAAGATAGTTTGCCGAACTGTTTCAGTATGTTTTTTATGTATTTTTGCAGCAGTTTTTCCCAACTGTGTGTGTGCTTGTTGTTTGTATACATGGATATCTGCTATCTGTTTGTGTCATATAATAAATATTTAGTCTGTTTAATCTATTGTAATAATAGTTAATGGTTTTAAACTTTACACTTGCATACTAAATGTGTAATTGAATATCTGACACTATTTGTTAATTATAACTTTTAACTATTTTAAGCTTACAATAACAATAGTTTGATCAATGGATCGAATTACAATGTCATTAGTTTTGAATCTATATATAAAACAGCATGAGCAATGCAGGGACAGAGATGGGTGTATGTTAAATGTTCAGTAAACAGAAACAAATATTTAAATTCAGTTCACACTTGAGCAAGCATTTCTAGTTATGTTTTGGTTTTAGTATCAGTTTTAGATTTTTTCATTAACATATTATTCAAGAGTTTAAGAGTGTTTTGTGTTTAAAAAGTGTGCACAAATATATAATCATTCTGACAGGCACGCATAATTATCTAGACAAATATATAATTCTGTCCATTTCATTTTTTCATTAGTATCACCATTTTTATTGACACTGTCTATGTTTTGATCCCACAGTGCAAATATTATCCCTTTTTCTGTTGTGAGAAAATATTGTCACTGTGTGACTGACACACTACGCACATTATAAATACACTATATTTCTTTAATGTATATAACCAATTGATATGATCAATATTAAAGACATTAACTGCAGTTATGACGTCATACTTAAGAATTATGGTTATTATGAATTATTTGCATTTATAATTTAAATTGTTTCTTTTTGATTGTAGGTTGATTTGCTGAAAGGACTTGGTATAGAATCTACCTTAATAATGAGTGGTGATAGTCCTCTTAACCTTTTCAATGTTGCCCAAGGACTTGTAGGAAATGGTTTGAACAACTGAATGGTATGCCTAACTTTGAAGTGATACTTTTCTTTGTTGTCCTAAATATTAATCCCGGCAGGTGCACCATTTCACTAACACAGGGCATTCATTGAACCAAACCATTCATTATAAAAATAGCGAGCCATTTTTTTCAAAATAACCTGTGTATTATTTGTTGATTAATTTGAGAATTTGTCACCAAACTGAGTGAGTAAAAATAATAAAAAATCTGTCAAGGAAAACATAATAAACATCTAATTATTAGGACAGCAACACATGTATGATACAATTTAAATGATTTACTGATCAATTTACAGAAATATTATCTGCATTTCATCATATATCTGCTGATGGCTATTTTTAAATGAATTTTTAGATTACAATTCAAACATTATCTTAACTTCATCTGCTGTAATTTTCGATGATTATTGGTGATTCTCATTTATTGATCAGTTGTTGAATAGTGTTTGATTATTGATTTATTATTTATTCAGAAATTATATTTACATATCAGCTATATACATACATATGATACATTCAAGCAATAAACTTTATAAATTACCACAATGTTATTCAGAAACACAACATGCAACATTGTTGCCATGAATTATGTGATGTTGTAATGTTATTTTATAAAGGAGAACCCGTTTCTATCATCTGTGGTTTAATAGTTTTGGTGACATTGGTCATTGTATATACTTATTTGACATCCAATGTACGACTGCGTTCATACTCTCATTTATGTATATTGGAATACATATTTACATACAAATTATTTATCAGCCTCTTGTGTGTCTTTGGTCTTGTACATAGTTGTTTGAGTTAGAATTTTGATTAATTGATAAGACCCAATATGAATAGTGTACATAATATCAAACGCAAATAATGTTTTAGAGTAAATATAAATAAGGTAATTAATGTTGTGAAAACTGTATATGATAAATGTTCATTTGTATATTTTAACTTTTTAACTAATTCAACTAATTAAATTTTCATATTATGCAAATCTAATTTTCATGACAATAGTGTTATTGTATGGTATAAAAGGAGTAGTAAATTGCCTATATGTGGTCATGGTGCCTTGTATAACATACCTCATGTTTATGATGGACGTTGTATGATGTACCATTTATACTGGGACAACTGTGAGATTTCTCAATTCCCATTTTTAGGACGATTTTCTGGTTGCTTATAAGTCATTAATGTCAAAAGACTTGTCATAAATAACAATTTACGTATGGAGATGGATATATTTTATGGAAAGTGCAAAAATGTTAAGTATCAGGAAAATATTATACCTTTTATGTTACAAAATGTGTCCTGTCTACACAATAAATGACTGGTTGTACCCTTTGCTGGTATGAGACACAGACACTTGACATCACATTGTGTGTTCTATTTTCGTATACGTATTTGATAAACTTATCATCAATACAATATATTTCCTATCATCACACCAGTATCATTTCAAAACTAGTTTACTGACTTAGTTATGGATCAAGTGTATTACAAACTTGAAGAAACAGCTCTAGCCAGTTTCTGTGTGTAGGAGTCACTGCCAATTACTTGCTATATTTAGATATTTCCTAACTCTGGAAATACGGGTATAATCACAATTCTAGCCATCATTAGAGATCATTAATGGAACAGCTCTTGGTTGCCTAGCAATGCAGAGCATCATGGATCACAAAATTGTACCTAGGGAGTTGTGTGGGTAGGGAAAGTAATTGGTCATTAAACAATGAAACTGTCTAAAACAGTTCTTTTTTGTTCATATCATCAGTAGCCAATTACAGTCACTATTTGGATATAGTTAGTCTCTTACACATGTTAGTCCATCAGCCGAGGTGTGCAACTTGGATATTGAGTTTATACAATTTGTTTTTGTCACTGAAAAAACAGCGTGATAACAAGGTGTCATTCTTCGGAAATTTGCTAATTTGCCTAAATCAAAACGGCTGCTTTAATATCATAACATGCCATATCTCCAACTCTACTCAACATTTTTCAGTGATATAAAAAACATTCTTGATGAAACCTACTGGAATGTCTTGAACCAAACATGTCATCAATTTAACATTCTGTATTTGCATTAACACATCTTTTTTGCATAAATTCAAGATTGTCGCCATATTAATATGATATATGTTAGTTTTCTACAGAACTTTTATATCGTGTGATATATTTCTTGTTAAGATTGCAACCTGTATTTTTTTCTTCAGTTGTGCCTTTATTTTAGCTATTCGCAGGTCTCCTGCACCTGTGATGTGGAAACAGGTCGTACTAGTAAAACAAATTCTTAATTTGCTTGCTTTCAACTTTGACCGCATTGTCCACATTCACTACATCGCGTGTGATTCCTCCATTCACAGTTTTGCGTGTTTCTAGTTTTTGTCGCGAACTGCTAATTTGTCATTTGCATCTGATATAATTCTTGATTTTAACCCGCCTCTGTGTGAGCTTCTCGTGTAATGTCATTTGAATCGCACATACGTGCATGCAATTTTTTTTACAAGAAAATTCTTCTCAGCACTGACAAATACAGCAGTGAAAGGTTGTCGTTATAGATAGCTTTTTCTTATGGGAGCACATTTCTAATTTAATATGCTCTTCGGAGATATTTTATCGGCAATACACACGGATTTGGAACTGAGATAAGAAACTAATGTACCAAGAAATCATCTGCCTATAGAAATTTAAAAAAGAGAAAATGTATGAGTGCTTTTATAGTGTTTTTCTGTTGATATTTATTGTTTTTAGACCCTTTCAATGCTAATAAATGTTATTTTTATCAGTATCAACAGCGTTGTTTTTGCTAACCGACTTCAACTGGTTTTATGATTACAAATGCGTAGAAACAAATGTCATTTTCGAGTTGCTGCATTGATTATCTGAAGGCTCAAAACTGTTTACTGTATCTACATCACACATTTCAATAAGTATCTGTCGGTGGAGAAAAAATACTAGTGTACAAAAGTTGTGTTGTCATCAATGGAATACAGGAATCTTCCCTATTTTATCATGCACGCATGTGGAAGTGCAAAAACTAAACTGACGGACCGATAAGATTATATTTAACAGCCTAACAGCAATGAGTGAATTCATGTATGTTTACGTAGACTATGTGTGCAAATAGTCATGTATACAATTGCTGATATAAGATGTATAATTTGTTAGATACTTTGCTGTCCAATTTAAATCCCGCTTTCCTATATATCATTTCCATCTTTCTGAACAACTTCCCCATTGCAATATGCGACTACTTAATTAAAATAAAATTAAATAAGATCATCTTTAAACCGACTCGGATTATTTTGACCCGAAAATAGTAATACAAGTAGGCATTTGTCCGACATTTGCCCTTATTCTGACATTTTTCCGTTTCCTACTGATATTGTTCCAGTGAACCGGCATCGTAATCCAGAGAGTAAACCAAACTCATATTCAGACATTAAATGCCTCCATGTGATTTTACATAGCATAGCTGGTCTGACCTAATAAGTGGTCAAATAATAGATGGTCCGAGTATGTATGTACGCCATCATTTATATAAATGAGTTGTCTTGAAACTTTTTCCCAGTAACATTTTGTCGTTCTCGAATGTGTCTTTTTATATATTTCCCCTATTTAAGTTTTCGAAAATTAGTTGAATGCAGTTTTATTAGGACAATAATAACTACAGCAAGCATGTTGCTAACATGCGTGAGTGGGTGGATTAGTCGTTCCATGCGTAAAAGTAATACAACAGAAAACGCCGACCAAAATGTTTGATACAGAGAAATACGTATACCTTAATGACAATATCAAACGATGCTTGTTTTAAAATGATATCAGCAATTTGTTATTTGTTATGACTGTTAAATATGATAATCAATACACTGTCAGTTCAGAGAAACCTTTTTAAATAGATCACGGTCACATCCATTGTTGATCAGCAACATTCATTGTTTACTCATGTATTCATTAATATTGTGTTTGGTATACATTACATTAGTATCAATTCTCCACGATCAATAATTGTTAGATTGCATTGTTTAATAGCGGTGAAAAACACATCTTTTATTAGCGTCGGGTTACATAGGCACGCTTTAATTGTGAACAAATTATTGAATGAGTAGGTTGTTTGACATGTGTGAACTTGAACTAAATACGGATATCGACTTGACAAAGATTGATGGACGCGTATTACAGTTTTCATCTGTAAATTGCGCTTATTCATAATTCGCATCAATGTATTGTAATTACTGTTGGCACTTACTCGCGTAGAACAAAATCACGGCGACAGTGTATTTAGTGTCTTCATTACCTGTAACTGACAACAAATAGAAAAGGAAAAGGCACGGTTGTTGTTACAGGTAACCAGGAATTGCATTGTAAATAACGAATTGTACCACGATAATTGTGGACTGATCTTACTAACATGTTGATGCATCATGTATAGTTAATCTACTCAATACATTGTTTATTAGTATATTTGTTTGAATAATAAAAGTGAATTCCTGTTCTGATTGTCTCGCTGTTCTCGTTTTAAGATATAGAAACTCAGCCAATGACTATACAGGCATTTCAATTTGTGTGTCATTATCTACATCCTCCCATTGTTATACAGTAAAAATCCGAACCTGATTTGACGACCTCAATGCGAATGAATAATCAATCAGAAAACACGGCAGTCCGCGGAAGTAGACAATTGAACAGCACAAACCTACCGCATCATTTGAAACGTTGATTTACAACTTTGTATACACTCTCCCAAACATTCCATTAATTGCAGAGGTAGATTCAAACTGCGAATGGCATTAATTGTTTTATTTTATTTTTAGACCAATTTACCCCTTATTAGAATAATTAAATTATCCTGGTGGACGTTATGATAGTTCACGATCAACACAATTGCATTTCTTACTTTAAAATTAACATATTATTACGGTTCCTCATTTGTGTTCCAAGATGACCCGTGTATGACTTGCCTGCATCTAGTGGCTCTCTATTTCTGAAGGAGATAACGAAATGTGCGATATCACATGTACAGGATTTGACTCACAGAAACGATGTATAACACAAATTGTTTTGCATATGTTCTTAGGAATGGACTTTTTCGAGCATTTTCCATAGGAATCCACGTTAAAGCTTTATCACAGATTTTCATAAAACTTCATTACAACCATAATAATTAAATATGACTTTTTTAAAATATATGCAACAGAACAAGATTTTTACTTTGTTGGTACTATTTTACCATAGTAACCAATAGTAAATTACTCAAAATCGTCATTTTCATGTATAGTTTAGTATTTTATTTGTGCGAAAAGTAGTTCGATGAATAGATAATAACAGTCTGGAAATATCTATTTTCTTTGTATAAAGTCAAACTAGGTCGATGGAGATTGCCCTGTGATATATATTTCCGAAAACAAATAGTATCGGATTCACTCAGAAGATAGCGGTATGGATGTAAATTCAGTTCACATTTTTTAAATTGATTTGTTGTATTTGTAGATTAAAACGTCTTAAAAATACAATCGGATTTTATTTGATGAAGTTAGTTTTGTCAGATTGCCCCAAAGGGTTTCCATGGCATTCTACTATAAAACATATGACGACGAAAGAGTCGTCGCTTCGATTACATAACTGTAGTTCGACCACCGAGTCGACCCGAGTGCCACAGAAATAATAAATAATTCACGCCGTGGGAAATTGATATTGTGTAACGTAACAACAGACTGCTTAAAATAAATAAAACTCATTACCCGTATTAGTTAATAACTGTTTAGTTATTAACTAGTGGCATATACAGCACTGTTAATGAAGAATATTTAGGTTTCTTTAGTGATTCTTAGAGAGTGAAATTCTACAAGGATTTGACGCACGAATAAAATACGTAAAAAAAATATGAAATTTTATGAAGCCGGCCATTTTCAAAAATATTCAACGAGCGAATGTACACATTTGCACTCAAATTATTGGATATTGTTTATGGATTTATCCTGTCCAATATTATCGTACTCGAA